TCTTAAAAACATTTCCTCCCATATTCTGATTCTACCCTCAGACCAATTTTAGCTTTCTTTCTTTTTTGCCCAGCCAGGTACTAGACTAGAGTTAGCCTAGCTGTGGGGAAATGACCATGAGTGGAGAGGGAACATTTTCAGGTGAGAAGGCATAAATAATCCCTCCTCCAGTGTGCTGATTCAGCCCTTCAAATCCCTCTCCCTTGCGTTTGTTCTAAGGATGCAAACACAAAAGGAAACATGACTTTTTGTTGAACTTTTTTGGCACATCAACCGGCCACTAGAGGGCATCATATACAAAAGTAGCTCATGCCGTCCAGCAACGGTTATTGCTGGACTTGGAGACTTACATCCAGAGCAAATTTTGGAGCAGGAGACACAAATGTGCTCAAGAAACACAGCAATAGTAAAATAACCCTTGAATCTTGTGCCAGATCTTGGATCCACTGGCCTTAAGACTTTGCTTCATCTCCCAAGATCCTGCATGCATCATAGAATAGCTGTGCAACAAGTCATGCCTCTTGGACCCACTGCCCCTGACCACCAGCCCTTCCTGCTGCCACCCCCCCTCCCATTCCCACTATTCTGCAGCCAAACCCAATGAGGCTGCCATTTTATATACTCAGGGTTAGGGTTGTACATTCGGTATCCATTTGGGGGAAGCAAGGGAAGGTGTTTTAAATTTAAAGGGATGGGGCACCTCTCCAGCGAAGGGAAGGAGTTTAAATTTAAAACACCTTCCCTTGCTTCTGGGGCTCCCGCCGCTTTAGTGGACTGACTCCCCCACACAAAGGCGTCTGCAGCTCCAGAAGAAAGGGAAAGTGTTTTAAATGTAAACACTTTCCCTTCCCCACCTGCTTCAACAGGTGGGCCAGAGAAAGCACTTCTTCCAGGCCTTCCCCAGCTCACCAGCCTCAGCGGGCAGGCCAGGAAAGGCATGGGGGGGCCTCCCTCCAAGCCTTCCCTGGCTCACCTGGTTTGGCGGGCAAGCTAGGGAAGGCACAGAGAGGCATTTAAAATGCCTCCCTGCTTCTTCTAGGCCTTCCCTGGCTCGCTTGATACTGGGATTTGGGAATATCAGCAAATGCCGAAATTTTAAATGTTCATTAGATCCGAACCCAAAAAATCTGTTGTTGTTTTTTTTGTGCACACCCCTAGAAGATTTGCACCTTTTGTTAAGTTGGGCAGCCTGAGCATGCATAGAGACTCCTCTTTGCCTCTCTGCCAGGGAATACCAGATAGGCCTATCTCTTGGCAAAAGCAATGGGATGGAGAACCCAGTGCAGAAGGGACATAATTAACAGCTCACTGATTGCATTAAAATAGTCATTGTGTTGGAATAGGTGCTATCTGGTGAACGAAGAGCAGACAACCCTCCAAGGGGCAGCAAGAGGGCAGTTGGATAGGAGAGGGAGGACAGCACCTTCTCTCCTGTTAAGTGTCATTCCTTGTCTGCCTCCAGATTGCTACTCTTAGGGCAATATCCTCCTCCTTCCTCTCTCACTCTCTCTCAGCTACTGATGTAGTTAGGACTTTGTCTCTGTCTCTCGTCTTCATTATCACGTATATTAGTTCCTGAATAAACCTTGATCTACACTTTAATCAGGTTGTGCACCTTTGCTGTGTTAATTACTCTGCCAACACATTGTAGTTACCCTGGCAGTTTCTGCAGAAGTCGAGTCAGTGGTGTTTACTACTGTGTATCTCTGTGAAGCCAAACCAAGAACAGAGCCAGAATCTGACACACACACCCCACGCCAACAGTGAATGTTTCTGTACCCCCCTACTCCTCTAGAATATGGAGATCAAGAGGAATGATACATTAGTTTTGCCAGCCTCTGCAAGGGACACTGGGACCTTATCAAACTGGTACACGATCCCTATTTAAGCCAAGTGTGGTGCTCCTGCCTAGCAGAAGGAATTGTAACATATCGATTGAGGAGTCTGATCTATGCCTCCAATTAAGAGGCTTCAGGCCAGTTTCATACAGTAAATTGGCCCTTTACTGCAGCTTTGCTGGGTCTCCAGGAGGTCATCACTCCATGATCCATGGTAAGGAAGGCTGTGATTTGTTTCTTATGTACTCTGCAGTCCAAATATACAGATAAACATCCCAACAGAGAACAGACACCAATTATCTGCAGAAAGGGCAGGCCAGCAAGTTAGGCAGCCTAAACATGCACAGAGACTCCTCTTTGACTCTCTGCCAAGGAATACAACATAGCCCCTCTCTCGGCAAGAAGAATGGGACGAAGAACCCCGTGTGGGGGAAAGGAAATAATTAACAGCTCACTGGTTGCATTAATACAGTCATTGCTGTTACCCTGGCAGGACAAAGTTTGAGTCCAGTAGCACCTTTAAGACCAAAAAAGTTTAATTCTGGGTATAAGCTTTCGTTCATGCACATGAAAGATCAAACTTTGTTGGTCTTAAAGGTGCCACTGGACTCAAACTTTGTTCTATTGCTTCAGACCAACATGGCTACCCACCTGAAGTTACTCTGGCAGCTCCTGCAGAAGTACAATCAGCGGTATTTACTCCAGGATGCAATGATAAATATCTCAGATCTAGAAGTCAAAACCCATCCTGTGCAGTTTTCGGACAAACAGGGCTGATGCGACTGAGGCAGAACCCAGTGCTTACGGCCCATGCGGTCCGTGATCCACTCTGTGCGGCACAGTCAGATCTCCTCTGGAAGACTGTGCTGTATCCTGCCACTCCACTAAACAACATGTTAAGCCTCCCTCCAACCTAAGGAGCCTTCTTCCAACTCATGGAAGGAAGCACTTGGAAGGTTGTGAAGATGCAACACTAAAAAAGAAGTCCAGTGGGCATCTTTGAGACTAACAGCATTTATTCCACTGGGAGTTTTCATGAGTCAGTTGCTGCTCACTTCATCAGATGCAATGAAGAGAAGAATAATTCTTCTTATATTTGTCTGGAATGTTCAAAAATAGGATATTGTCCACTGTGTTCCGTTCCGGGCACCCCACTTTAAGAAAGGCAGACTAATTTGAATGGGTTCACAGCAGAACGATGAAAATGGCCAACAATCCAGAGGCACCTTAAAATGTAACGAAACATATTCCAGAATAAACTTCTCAGGAGTCAGAGCTTACACCAATGGATCTGAAGAAGTGAGCTCTGACTCCTGATATTTTATGCTTTTATAAATTGTTAAAATAAATTTTGTTAATCTTTAAGGGGCCACTGGACTTCTGCTTTATCTTGCTGCATTTGATTAACATGGCTGCCCGCCCTACCCCTGAAGAAAAATGCTTGGAATCAGGAAAACAATTCATATGAGGAACAGTTGAAGAAACTGAAGGTGTTTGGCCTGGAGGAGGGAAAATCAAGGAGTCATGACTGTATTCAAAAGCCTGGAGGGCTGGCAAGCGGAAGAGGGAAAGACTTGTTCTCTGCTGCTCCAGGGTGCAAGACTTGGGCTTAAGTTACAGGAGGGTATTTCTCACACAAAGGCCCCGGTCACACGGCAAAGTTGCAGTGGGAGAGGCACAGAAGGTGGGTGGATTATCTGGGCGCGATCACACCCCAACATCTGGGAAGTGGAGCGCACCCGTGGCTTACCACCGACAATGCGCATTTAAAAACTAGTACCTCCAAGGTACTAGTAAACGTTTGCCACGGGCTGCCTCCAGACGCTCGTGGTTTGATCCCGCCGACGCGCAGCATTCCCCTCCAGTCCCTCATTTACCCGCTGGTGCCGAGGGAAGGACCGTGGTGTGCCGCCGGCCCATCTGATCGTGTAATTGTGGATCAAACTGCGCCGGGGCAATTAGCCATGCCTCCCCCCCGCGATATCTGGCCCGTGTGACCGGGGCCAAATATTGGGAGTCTTCCTAAAGGAAAGAGCAGTTTGGCAATGGAACCAGTTACCTGGGGGAGGTGGATGGGCTCCCCATCACCAGGTGTTTTCAGGCAGAGACTAGACAGCCATCTGTCAGGGATGCTCAGATTTTGGATTTCCTGCACTGAACTGAAGGCTGAACTGGACTTTCTGTAAAGCCCTTTCCAGCTCTAGAATTCCTGGCAAACAAACAATTTTAAAAGTGCCACACCTAACAATCTGACTTCCACATATAAAAACTACCACCTAAGTGTGCAAGATTTCTGCCACCTTCAGAATTGTGTGGAGTCAGACAAGACTTGTGCAGGTCCTAAAATTGACTTAAAGCTCTACCCACCCACCCCCCCCCCGTTCCTCACCAGAACATCAGTGACCACCCCTTCCTGGAGGAACCCAGGAGAGGGGGAATAATTGCTACTTATGGTTGGTTGCTAGGCAACTTCAACACAGTATGTGGTCCACAGCCCTCTCTACATCAGGAGCTGGCTGTGAATTTACTGTGTCGTTTGCCTAACAGAGATGGGTAGTTGTCTCCCTGTCTCTCTGCTCTTCCCAGTGGAATGTGCAACCTGGGCTTTGGCTGTGGGAGTTCAGGGATCCCCGTGCTTCCAAACGGCTGTTTAGTGTCCCTCAAAGGACTAAGGCCCAGCAGGATCGTAGCACTTCCCTATCTTACCTCTCAGCCAACACACAAGTTCTCACATAATAGTACCCTGAGCATGAGCAAAACTGAGAGCTGATTTCCTTCCTCTGTTTTTAGTCGGCCCTTTCTGGGTCCGCCCTGACCTGGAAGGCCCAGGGTCATCCGAACTCATTAGTTATTGGAAGCTAAGCAGGGTCGGCCCTGGTTAGTACTTGGATGGGAGACCACCGGGGAAGTCCCGGGTTGCTACGCAGAGGCAGGCAAGGGCAGAACCACCTCTGAATGTCTCTTGCCTTGAAAACCCCTTGAGGGGTTGCCGTAAGTCAGCTGTGACTTGATCTCACTTTACACCTTCTGGGTTTACACCCAACAGCAGAGGGAGAACAGGTGAGCCAGATGGCCATTTCTGGAAAAGCACCCAATAGGGTTACCGTGCTGCAAGTAGACAAGGGTTGTGAAGGAAGATGCGAAGCCCTTCAGAAGAGTTACCTCCGGAGAGCCCTCTCTGCAGCGCTGGCCTTGCTGGGAGACTGCCTGTGACTGGGAGGCAGGGTGTCCATCTCATAGGGGTCACCCTCTGAACGTGCATTGGGGCTCTCCAAGAATTCCTCGTCGTTCCAAGCGCCGACTGTGCCATCCATGGCCTGGTACCTAATCTCGATGGAGACGCTGGTCTGAAAAACAAACAAACAAGACCCGGAACGCGTTTATTCATGTTATTCCATTTAGTACCTATCACACCATGAGGGGCAGCAGAGCCTCAGATGACAGGGATAGAACCCCTGCCATTTCATCCTTCTGATTTCTAGCCAACAAGTGCCCAACTTCCAGGTCATCCTCAACTTCCTCTAGAAGATCAGAAGCTACTTGGGAACAATGCTCCCTCTAAGCTGTGGAGTCTTGTGAGCAAAAATTCTGTTTTGTGAGCCACTGGCATTAAAATTGCGAGCGAGTGATTTGACTGCTACATAAATTAGTTTGCTCCGGAGCCATCCTTATTAGCTAAGACAAAAATGTGTGAGCCAGAGGCTAAAAAACTGTGAACTAGCTCACACTAACTCAGCTTAGAGGGAACACTGCTTGGGAACAAACCGGATAAGAGACACAAGGAGATCCATGATCACATTAAGTTGAGGAATCTGCAAACATATTACTCAAGCTTTTCAAAAATACTAATAGATGTTATATTAGGGCTTGATTTAGATTAGGACTGTGGGGTAGAGGAGGCTTCCGGTCTAGCTAAGATGGAGGACTGAAGCGTTTCGCAATCGTGCGAAGCGAGCGACGGCCACTTTTGACAGTTTGGGCAATATACAGCCCAACGCATCACTCCCCAGCGAGGGGGGGGGACAAGCAGGCAGCAGCGCCCTAGAGGGAGTGTGAGGTTGGCGTAATCCAGCTTCGGAAGAAGCTGAATTGGGCTTTGACCTCCTCCCACGAAGAAGGCAAGTGCCAAGCAACTCTATAGTGGCCGATCGAGCCGGGCTACCGGCATAAATTCTTCGTCAGCAGACTTCTTTGAAGAGGGACAACAACTGTGAGTTAAAAGAAACAATGCGAAACCCGTTTTCAACAAAATTTAAATAAAGAAACACCGATACAGATTGTATGGGATGCTTATAAAGCGGTGATGAGAGGAATTCTCATCTCGCAAAACGTGAAGCAAAAAAAGGAAAAACTTCAAAAACAAACAGAAGTGTTAGAAAAAATTGCTCAGAAAGAAAAGGAATTAAAAAAGAAGCCTGGAAAAAAGCAAATTATTAAAGAATTAAAGTTGCTGAAGGAACAACTGAATGAGACTTGGAATCAGGAAATGTATTGGAATTTAAAGAAGTTACAACAGAAATCTTTTGAAGGGGCGAACAAACCGGGAAAATACTTAGCTTGGCAACTTAAGGCTAGAAGAGAGAGAAGAATGATAACCAAAATAATAGAAGATGGAAAAGAGTTCGTTGATCCTAATGGAATAAAGAGATGTTTCTTCAAGTATTATGCTAAACTATTCCAAACAACTAGAGTTGATCTTGAGAAGATTAAAACATATTTAAAGGAGATTCCACTACCAAAAATAAGTAAGGAATACAAAGATTTATTAAATGGTCCAATTCAAAAAGAAGAAGTGATGAAGGCAATAGAAGAGACAAAGTTGGGGAAGGCGCCTGGGCCGGACGGATTTACAGCGAAATTCTACAAAAAGATGAAAGAAGAAATTTCCCCGGTCCTGGAAGCTTTAACCAACGAAATAAGAGAAAACAAAAAGGTGCCGGACTCATGGAAAGAAGCAATTATTTCTTTGATTCCAAAGGAAGGACAAGATTCAACAAATGTAAAGAACTACAGGCCAATATCTCTTTTGAACAACGATTATAAAATCTTTGCAAAAATTATTGCAGAAAGGGTGAAAAACTATTTACAAACGGTAATTTCTGAAGATCAAGCGGGCTTTTTACCCAAAAGGCAGATTAGAGACAATGTAAGAATAGTAATGGACGCAATTGAATATTATGAAAAGCACCCAGAAAAAGAAGTAGCTTTTCTGTTTGTTGATGCAGAAAAAGCTTTTGACAATCTTAATTGGAATTTTATGCACCAGATGATGGAAAAGATTGAAGCGGGACAACATTTTAGAAATTGTATTGAAGCTATCTATTCTGAACAAAGAGCTAAAATAAATGTGAATAAAGAACTGACAGATAACTTCAAAGTACAGAAAGGAACAAGGCAAGGTTGTCCGTTATCACCGTTATTATTTATCTGGGTATTGGAAATACTTTTACAAAAAATACAGTACGATCAAGAAATAAAGGGCTTGACACATAAAGGACACCAATACAAATATCGAGCATTTGCAGACGATGTAATGTTTATGGTGGAAAACCCAACAGAAAAATTGACATTGCTTTTTCAAAAAATAAAGGAGTTTGGAGAATTGGCCGGCTTTTACGTAAATAAGAATAAAACAAAACTTATATGTAAAAACATGATCAAACAAAAACAAGTGGAACTACAAGAACTGGTACAATGTGAAGTAGTTAAAAAAACAAAATACCTTGGAATTGAATTAACGGCAAAAAATATAGACCTATATAAGAATAATTATGAGAAATTATGGACTAAGCTGACTCAAGATTTTAAGAAATGGGATAAAATGAACTTATCACTGATGGGAAGAATATCAGTTATAAAAATGAATGTCCTACCACGTTTGATGTTCCTGTTCCAAACAATACCAATTCTGCATAAAACGGATTTGTTGGCCAAGTGGCAACAAGAGTTGTCAAAATTTGTTTGGGCAGGCAAGAAACCAAGGATCAAAATGAAAATACTTTGTGATGCCAAAGAAAGAGGAGGTCTACAAATGCCAAATCTTAGACTATATTATGAAGCGGTTTGTCTAACATGGATGGATCAATGGGTGAAGCTTGAAAATGACAGATTGTTGGGGTTGGAAGGGCATGATTGTAGATTTGGCTGGCATGCATATTTATGGTATGACAAGATAAAAATGGACAGTTTTTTTAAACTTCACTTGGTGAGAAAAGCTTTGTATATGGTATGGACAAGATATAAGAAGTACCAGAGTGACTTAAGACCATTGTGGATTGTACCAGTAGAAGTGTTGATATCTTACTCAAGACAGCGAGGTAGAGACTGGTTGCCATATAGAGATTTAATTAAAAAAGAGGGAACAGAGTGGGTAATGAAAAAGCAGAATGAAATTGAATATGAATATGAGTGGTTGAAATATATGCAGATTTATGATCTTTTTAGATCTGACAAAAAAAACTATGGTTTTAGAGAGGAAAAAAATGAAATTGAAAAGGTTTGGGAGAGTGGAGGAGGAAAAAATATTTCTAAAATGTATAAGGTGTTGTTAAAATGGTATACTGAAGATGAAACTGTTAAAGAACAAATGTTAAAATGGGCTATTAATATGAATAAGGAAGTGGCTATGGAAACCTGGGAATATTTGTGGAAAAATTCTATTAAGATCTCGACATGTACTAATGTTAAAGAAAATTGTTATAAGATGATGTATAGGTGGTACATGACACCTAAGAAAATTGCAAATATGAATCAAAATATGTCAAACAAATGCTGGAAATGTAAGAGGCATGAGGGCTCATTTTATCATATGTGGTGGACTTGTGAGAAAGCTGTAGACTTTTGGACAAAAGTCCACAATGAAATGCAAAAAATATTGAAATGTTCTTTTAAAAAAGCACCGGAAATTCTGCTTTTGGGACTTAAAATGGAAGAAGTCAATACGACTAAAAAGACTTTACTCTGGTACCTGATAGTGACAGCGAGAATGATTTATGCTCAGTTTTGGAAGACAGAAAAGGTACCAGAGGTTGAAGAATGGATACAAAAAGTTCTGTTCATGGCACAAATGGATAAGATTACAAAAAAACTGAATAACAAAGAAGACGATGAGTTTTTTGGAGAATGGAATGACTTTAAAATTTATCTGGAAAAGAACTGGGATGTGAAACAAAACTTAATATGTTTAGATCAATATTAAGTCAAATGATGTTATCTTTAGATTGTAATGATGAGAAACTGATATTGTTGATGATATGAAGTAATTTGGAGCAGGGGTGGAAGCATTGTGGGAAGCCATTGGAGGGAGGGGAGGAACTGGGAATGGGGTAGACAATTGATAGAATGAAAAGTTTTATATGTTGTATTCCTGAGAAAATAAAAAATTTGTTTACCAAAAAAAAAAAGGACTGTGGGGTAGAGGAGGTGGAGGGGGAGTGTTCTTAAAAAATTTGTTTACCAAAAAAAAAAGGACTGTGGGGTAGAGGAGGTGGAGGTGGAGTGTTCTTTTTTTTCCCTTTGGTGTTTTTGCTGATCACCCCTTATTACATTATTAGCCTATAAAGCAGTGGTTCTCAACCTGTGGGTCGCGACCCCTTTGGGGGTCGAATGACCCTTTCACAGGGGTCGCCTAAGACCATCGGAAAACACAAATTTTCGATGGTCTTGTGATAGCAACAAAAATAATTTTATGGTTGGGGGTCACCACAACATGAGGAACTGTATTAAAAGGTCGCGGCATTAGGAAGGTTGAGAACCACTGCTATAAAGGATACAGAAAGGCAATAGATGGACTGCTCTCTTCCCCCCTTTTTGAAGGTCAAAAACGGTGCGGGGGCAGCTAGATTAAAGTCCAGTAGCAACTTAGAGAACAACAAAATTTTTGAGGGTATGAGCTTTTGAGAGCCAAAGCTCCCTTTGTCAGATATAAGTAGGAATGGAGATCCTTGAGTCCTTGTATCACAGTCAGAAGGTGGAATGCACATTGTAATCCGCTTGATTACAGCAGAGGGGAAATGTGTGGTGGCAGAAAAGTAGTACCTATTGGGTGCGTTCAGACGGGGCATTTGCAACGGAATAGGTGCCCGTTGGAATCGGTGTACTTACCGGCGTTCACACGGCGAACATCTGCCTTCCATCCCTAACCCTTGCAAAGAGCTTTACAGCGTTGTATTCTGCCACTAGGTTCCCAAGTGGTGGTATCCTGAGTGCAACGGTTGTAATCACTTTACCCCCGCCTGATCGCTCTCCAACGTTGTAGAGCCACTTCCGTTCGAAAGCCCGAGGCTTCCGATTTTCGCCCACCATTTTTTTTGGTTAGGTCGGCAATATGCGCTTGGGCAAAGCTTCGCCCCAGCGTTTGTTTAAAAAAAAAAAGAAAAGGTCCTTAGTTTAAGGTTTTGGAGGACTCCAGGACCTCAGGGAGGCCAGTTTGGTCTTTAAACTTTAAAGGTAAGTCCTTACCTTTAAACTTTAAATGTAAGACGGGGTGTTTTGCACATGCGTGAAGATCGCCATTCTGTGGATGGTTGCCTATGCGCATGCGCAAACTGAGTTTAAAAAAAAAAAACTGCCGACACCCGCTCCATGTGAACAGGCATACAGCGATGGGCTCTGCAGACAGGAGGTAAGTGTGATTGTGTTTCAGCCAGCATAAACTGCACCGGTTCCAACCGGCCTTGATGCCAGTCCCCTCCCCAGGTGGTGCCTAGAAGTCTCCAGGAATGACAACTGATCTGCAGATGACAAAAATCAGACTACAGCGCCTCCAGGCTACAGAGGTCACTTCTCCTGGAGAAAATGGCGGTTTTGGAGTTGGGCTCTATGGCATTATACCCTGCTGAGGTCCCTCCCCTCCTCAAATCCTACCTTCCACAGGCCCAGTCCCCAAACTTCCTGGAATTTCTCAACCCAGAGTCGCCAACCCTATTTGGAGTCTAATTCCAACTAGGCTCTTCCTCTGTTCATATACTTGACAAAATCTCTCCTCAACCCAACTTCCGTTAATCACATTCCCCTTTCATGGCTCAAGATTAAATGCAGGGTACCTAAGCTGAAGCATTAATAGGAAACCAGAAAAGCAGAGTGGAATTCTGCTAACTTGCCTTCCTTTCTTTGGGTGGTTGCCATGGTTACTGCATAGGGGAACGATATGTTGACTTTATGCAAGCATTTGCTATACTGGTGTGTGTGAAGGGCTGCTAGATCGCAGGAGTGACCGTCATTTGCCAAAAGCCTCTGCTGCTGAAACAAACCCACAGGGGTCACTGCTACAAATAAGTTTCTAGTCCTCATGGTGAGAAAGAAAAACGTGTGAGGGGGAGGAGCCTGTTGCGGACTAGGCCTCTGATCTCTGTGGTTCAGGCTACCCTACATAACAAAGAGAATGGCAGCTCCTTTGAATGATGGTGGATGCCTTCATCTACGGGCCTTGATTGCTGGAAATGGTTTTAATTAAAGGCCCATCCAGGTCTGAAAGAAGTGAGCTGCATGCCCAGTTAGGGCTGCCAATCTCCAGGTGGGGGCTGGAGATCTCCTGGGATTACAGCTGATCTTCAGGTGACAGAGATCAGTTCACCTACAGAAAATGGCCACTGTGGAAGGTGCACTCTATGGCATAGGGTTGCCAGACCCCCCCCCCCCGGTTCCAAGGGGGTTTCCCGTTTTGGGGGGGGCTGGAAGCTCTCTCCCGCCACTATCCAGCTGGCCAGCAGGGGGGAAGCCCTGCCCCCAAAAGGGACCACCCAACCTCCCAAATTTTAGCCAGCACTTGGGCTAAGGGTAGAGTTGCTAGTTCCTCCATGATCTTCCGGAGAGCATTTGTAATTCTGGGAGAGCTCTGGGCCTTAGCTGGAGTTTGGCAACCATAGCCAAGGCTCCAGTTCTCTGCAAAGAAAACCTTCCTCCAGAGAGCAGGACAGTGAGGCATGTTTAACACACAAGACCAACCAGCAAGCAGCTGCCTTCTCACAGTTGTGTTATCCTTCTCTAGCCTAGGTGGGAGAATAGTCCAATTGCCCAGAAAAATCAGCTGTGTTTAAGAAACCATCCATCCGCTTCTTGAAATACATTTACCCGAATGACCGCGTTGTTGTCATCTATTAGCGTGTCTGTCACCTCCAGCTGTCCTTCTTCCACCACCTTCTGCAAGACCATCCGGAATGTCCCAATGAGTCTAGGAGCAAAGAGGACAGGTTGCCATGAGGGCCTCAGGAAAGGTGGATCTCGTGCCAGCTGGTGAAGGGAACCTTTAGAACTCTCAAGATCTTGTGGGGAAAAGTACTTTGGTCTCAGGAGGCAATAATTGAGAAAATCTCCCTTTGGGTAAAATATCACTGAGAAAGAGAGGGGCAACTTGAACTATTAAGGCCTAGAAGCTTTCAGCATGATACAGAGGCCATGGCAGGGAAAGTGAAGAGGTGATCATAACAGAGGAGCAAATTATTATGTTTGGGGTTTCATGTATAACTTAGCCCCTAATGCCATTCTCATTTTTAGGCAATTTTGGAACAGGGAAATTTAGATTAAAAAAGAGGCAAGGGGGGGGATCAGATATCACAACCCCCCATCTGCCTGTTCTTTCTCCAGATTTCTCTGTGAGCAGCTACTGGCAAGGGTCAAAAGCCACTTGGGAAGGGTGATGAGAATCAGAAAAACCAGCAAATGTGAGGAGGTTCAGCATTCCCATCTCCCACCACTTCCCTGCTCTAAATTTACCTCCTCTGAAGCCAGTCATTATTTAAAAAGTGCTGTGGGGTGCTCAGTGTCCTGTGTTTGTGTGTGACGTGTAGTAATTCCCAGAGAGATGAACTAAGAGGCAGCCTAAGTCAGCCAGGGAGAGCTGATAGCTGTGAGGTAAAACACTCCCCTTGTATGCCTATGTGGGGTATGTACAGAGGTCATTTCGGGGGGGATCGCGGGGGATCGCAGTTCCCCCGGGTGAGGTGTGGGGGGCGGGGCACATGACGAAGCCCCGCCCCCTGCTTCCGGCCGCCCCGCTTCCAGCCCTCATTCAGCCAGGAGGAGGCAGGAGAAGAGGGGGGGTAAGTTGCTTCCTCCCTGCCTCTCCCCACCCCTGCCTGCCTGGGGCCAGGGAGGGCCTTCGCGGGGCTTCCTTGCACTCCCGCCAGCCTTGCAGGTCCACTGCCGGGCCCCTCATGGGGCTCGGCAGTGGAGCTGCAAGGCCGGCGGTGGCAGCCGGGACCGTTGGGGGCGGGGTGTGTGGCCTTATGACACACTTCCGGTGATGTCAGGGGGTGTGGCCTTATGACACACTTCCGGTGATGTCAGGGGGTGTGGCATATGCTAATGAGTTATGCTAATGAGTTCCCCTAGCTCTTTTTCTATGAAATGACCCCTGGGTAAGTATGCATATCTAAGGGACTGCCTCTCCCCATATATGCCCTGGAGATCTTTGCGCTCCACAGACCACCATTTGCTGGTTGTCCTTGGCCTGAAGGATGTTCATTTAGCCTCGGCCAGGGCTTTTTCCGCCCAGGCCCTGACCTAGTGGAACATGTTCTCTGTTGAGATCAGGACCCTGTGGGACCTATTACAGTTACGCAGGGCCTGCAAAATGGAGCTGTTCCACCAGACCTTTGATTGAGGCAGTGGGTGTCCACCAGTTGGCCTCCCTGCTGTAGGGTTGCCAGCCTCCAGGTGGGGCCTGGAGATCTCCCGCTTTTACAACTGATCTCCAGCTGACAGAGATCAGCTCCCCTGGAGAAAATGGCTGCTGTGAATGGTGGACTCTATGGCATTGTACCATGCTGAGGCCACTCCCCTCCCCAAACACAACCATCTCCCCAATCCACCCCCAAAGTCTCCAGGTGTTTTCCAACCCATACCTGGCCACGCTACTCTGCTGCAATCTGGTAATGTTATACTGCCATTAATAAGATCTTTATGATTTGGCTGCAGCCCAATCGCTCCCAGCTATTAGGTCCGCTGAACGTGTGATTTGTTGCAATGCCTATCTTTTAACTGTTTTAACTGTTTTTATTGTTCTCGTACTTATTTTAACTGTTTTAATGATTGCAATTTATTGTTGTGACCTGCCCAGAGCCCGCTTGCGGGAAGGGTGGGATATAAATCGAAATAAAGAGGAGGGTCCAGGTGAAAGGCCCTGCTTTTCCAGTCAAAGGTGTGAGGAAAGATCTTCCGGGCTGGAGTAAGGGGTACTGACATGCAGCTTCAGGTATGCAGAGGAGAGAGAAATGCTGGCGGAAAAGACAGAGGGAGGCATGATACTTAGCATGCAAATGGCATTTGACATACTTTGGCATAGTAATCCTTGGAACAGCCAGATAACTATTATTACTTACAGTAATAAGTGAGGCAGACAGAGAACAGCCTTTCTGAAGCGAAAAGCACAAAATGCTGTTTTCAGAGAAGGGAAAGTGGCTTGAAAGCAGCTTCCCAGCTTGTAGGATGTATTCTCACTCCCCTTTCTGCCTCCGGGCAACAGGTTTTGGAGGTTTCTGGTCTTCTTCTTTTTTTAAACAGAGCGTGTTTGACTAAATTTGGCCATGGGACAGAAGAAATATGCCCACAACAGCAAAACAAAGCCTTTCTCTAAACCACTTTTGTCTCTTTTAAAAACAACCAGTCTTCATCTGCTGAACACGTTTATGGCAGGGGAGATATAAATCCTCGACTTCAGCCTCTTGCAATTCAGCCCGCAGGTGGAGGATCGCATTTTATAATGCTCCACAGTATTTAAAAAACAAAAACCCATCCTCTCTGTTAGGGTTTCGGGGCTGGGAAATATCTGGAGATTTGGGGGGTAGATCCTGAGGAGGGTGGAGTTTACAGAGAGGAGGGACTTGGGTAGAACGCCATAGAGTCCACCTTCCAAAACCACCATTTTCTCCAGGTGAACTGATTTATGTCACCTGGAGATTAGTTGTAATCCCAGGAGATCTCCCACCACCACCTGGAGGCTGGCAACCCTACTGCAACTAGAAAGCCAACACGGTTGCCAAGAGAAGAAGAAGAAGAAGAGAAGAGATTGGATTTATATCCCGCCCTTCACTACCCGAAGGTGTCTCAGAGCGGCTTACAAACTCCTTTCCCTTTCCCTCCCCACAACAGACACCCTGTGAGGTAGGTGGGGCTGAGAGAGCTCTTGACAGAAACTGCTCTTTTTTAAGAACAGCTCTTATCAGAACTATGGCTTGCCCAAAGTCATCCAGCCAGGTGCAAGGGGAGGAGTGGGGAATCAAACCCGGTTCTCCCAGATTAGAGTCCACGCACTTAACCACTACACCAAACTGGCTCTCAAGGGGCCAATCCTTTTCCTTTTGCTGTGCCCATTTTCATTTGCATGAAGGTTCTTACAGAAAGGAGTGTTTAAAGGAGGAATCCAGCCCCCACAGTCTCTAGAGGTGCAGTCCCTCCTGCCTTTTCAGGGTTTGGCCAGTTGGTGCCCCTGCATGGGTGAACTAGGCCTCAGTCTTAACACTCATTCTGAGATGTGGCCATCTCTGGTGCGCAACTACGTAAGTACACACCTGACGGCTCCTCCTTTACAGGATGGGGGATTATCAGTCACATCACAGGCTGTCAATCCTACTAGAAACTATTTGTGTGCGAGATACGAGTGCTCCCTTGCTTCGGTGACATTCTCTCCCCTGCAGCCTGCCTTTATCGGCAATTAAAGATAATGACACTCTACTTCTGACAGCACCATCGATATTTGGACACTGTGTCAGAAGCCTTTCGGCTCTTCCCTGAAAGCAGGAGTCAGCAGGAAGAGCAGCATCACTCATTAAAGCCTCTTCTTGTGCTCTGTGCCAGCCTTGGGACACAGCCTTTGCACCTGATGGCAGATTCTCAAGTCAGACTCTCTACAAAAGATTGGGGTGTATGTGTGACGACTCACTGTTACTGTAAACTGGTTCCTGGGTGCCTGTTCGGCAGAAAGATGAAGGGGAGGCTGCTACAGTGTAAGATGTGAGAGAGGGACTGTATGGGACCAGCTCCTTAATGCACATGTTGTGTTCTCTCTATGAGATTTGCATCCGACCCTTCCTCTTGGGACCTCAGGGCGATGTACACAATTCTTCCCTTCTCCATTTTATCATCACAACAGCCCTGTGAGGTAGGTTAGCTAGAGACCCACAGTCACCCGGCATCCCCCAGATCCTAGTCTGATGGCCTAACCACTACCCTGCCCTGACTCCATAGTAGTCGTTAACCATAAGTCAGTTTCCCATCTCTGTAAAATTCCAGGGAGTTGATTCGTAACAGCAGATTCAAGCAGGAAGAAAGCAGATGATACGAATGCTTTCAAAATGTGGGTTGTTTAATTTTAATGATGTGAGGTTGCTGGTTTCTGCTCTTGGTGAGGCGCCACGTTCTTGAGTCTATCCTCAGTGAGGCAGGGTCAGCAAGAAAGAGACGGGATTCAGGGGGAAGCTCCCAAGGGCACTGCTTACCCTGCTGACCTAGAGTATTGGCTAAGGTGCCACTTTTGTGCGGTAAATTTTGAGGCCCCTTAAATGGAGGCCCTAACTTTCAGGCTGACCCTACCTCATAGGGTTGTTTGGAGGATAAAATGGGGGCATATATAGTGCTCAAAACTCCTTGGAGTAAATGTGGTGGAGGGAGGGGCCATGGCTCAGTGGTAGAGCACACAGAAGACCCCAGTCCCAAATGCCCTACCTCACAGGGTTGTAGTAAATATAAAATGGAAGAGCTGTCAGCTACTTTGGGTTCCCATTGGATAGAAAAGTATGGTACAAATGAAGTAAATATTGTACTTATTGTTTATTTATTTATTTGGATTTGTATTCCACCCTCCCTGCAAGCAGGCTCAGAGCGGATCACATCATAGTAGATAAAAAACATACACTAACATAACAATATTTAAAACAACTAGGTAATGCAATTTAAAGCAGCTGTGTATAGACACAAACAGTTTCAGGTGGAGTGGTTGGGTTTGGGTTTTTTTTACTATAGTAATTGGGCCATGTGGGACCTCAAACCAGCAATGAAACCTTGTATGGCCATCAGCCAACACAGAGCGATCTCTCAATGTAGCCTCAGTACTGAAAATCTGAGGCAAATTTGGAAAGCCGAACTCAGGCAGAACAACTGTAGGAACTTTGAGAAGCTGGCCAAAAAACAAAGAAACAGAGAAGGTGCTTGAAATTCCTCAGGATGGAGGGGAGT